ACCTCTCGCGCGCTTCGGTCGGACTTTGTCGGCGAAGTTCTTCAGCTTCGCGGCGCGCCAACTCTTCATCTTCCGCAACGGTCAGCTTCTTCGCGGGATCGCGCCAGTGGGGGTAGACCTTCATGAACTCCTCCTTAATGTAAGAGCGCGCCACGTCGCGCGCGTCGAAGGTTCCGCGACGCTGTCCGCGTAAGATAATTTCGAGCCGTTGGGAGGGGGGACCCGCAAGTGGGTTCTGGTTGGGGCCGAAGATGCGCTGAGTGGCTAATTCCAGCTCTAGCGTGAACATGCCTTCTTCTGGTGGCGCGTTTCGTTCAGCTTCCGCGATGGTGGCGAGGCCACGGCCGACGATAGCGCTCGTCGAGGCAGTGGGTGTGTGACACTCCCTGCAGATGCCGTCTGGGTCAAGGTAGTTATACTGACATAATAAAGTAGCACACACAAAGTCAATGAAGTCTATAAGAGCATCATATTCACAACACACCTACTCAGTGCCACCCCCCCTTCCCACATCTTCTACGGGACGTGTGGCTAGATTCAAGAATGCGTTGGCAGTCCTGCGGGAGAAACAACCAATGAGGCAACATGGCGTGTCGCCGACACCGAAGCAAGTTTTATTGCCAGTGGTCACAAGCGACAACGCTTGTTTGTGGGGGTGTGGTACATTTTTTCACCACGCGGAGTATGGTCCGATTCGTGTCAGAAAAGTTTCGGTAAAAGGGTAGTCTACACCCTATCCTGATTCCGTTAGGCTAACCATAAAGCCTATCAGGGTAAAGAAAAAACAAGCACTTTTTAGAGAAGGGTAACTATCATGAAATCCTGATTTCGGCAGGGTAATCCTGAAAAAGCGACCGGCCCCCAGGGTAATCAGGGTGTTTTACCCTGATATTTTGGGCCCTGATGGATATGCTCTAAGCGCAGTGGAACGAGGTCGATGAGCTTGTTCGAGTCGTCGCTGCAGTTGGGAATATCAAAGTCGAGGACGTACACCCCATTCTCGGAATGTGCCCGTCCGATCTGCCTTCGCGTCTTTGTCGGCGACGAGTAGTGTAGCAGGATTTCTCGTGTGCAGGGTCCGTGCTTAGTTCGACGCCGCAATCCATGAGCTGAGCGGCAGATAGCAGATTGAAGCGCAGGTTCTGGACTATGAGCACATCATTCAGCGTGATGTGCGTGCAGCTTCCGCGTGCCTTGAGCACGACGATTCCTTGCGCGCTTGCGCGCAGACGGGTATTGTTCGCCACGGTGACATAAGTGACCGTGGGGGTCGAAACGGCGTTGGAGACGAAATGCTCGGAGCCAACCATGTGTTGTCTACAACAACTGTCCAGATACCAGATGTTGCAGCGCTTGTTGTCGTCACGTGCGAGCAGCGCCAATCGCGGCGTGACGATGTAAGGTGTGTTGAACTTTAAGAATTGCTCGCGCGAGAGCTAGTCGATCTGTGAATCACCCGATAGGATGGCGTGCAGGTTTTGGTGACGGTGTGCACACGCGGCGACGGCGAGATCAGCTCGTCATGGTCATGTTTCCCATGACGTTCCGAACGGGAGCAGTCTGTGACGGGTGCTGCTGCTGATGCTGAACCGCTAGGTTCAGGTTGCGCGATGGGGGTGGGTAGCCCTGGGCTGGACGCCTATCGTTTTGTGCGTCTTGTCGGCCAGACCAAGTGCTCAGATTGGTCTGGCGAGGGCGAGATCGGGATTTACGTCGATCTACCAAGTGCCCGAAATTTATGCAGATTTTGAAGTAAAGGCGCCGCGACCGTCACTCTTCTGTGTTGTCCGCGTCGTAGGTGAGGCGGTCCTGTTCTCGTTGCGGCACTGGTCGCTACTGATCCATGTCTCTCTGTTTGACGAGGAGGGCGGCGCATAGGGCGGCTTTCGAGATAACCCCCTGCTGTTGGAGAAGTGCCTTGCAGGGCCGCCATTCTGGGCCGAGCCCTTGAAGCACGATGTTCACAAAAAATTCTTCTGAAATAGTGCTCCCCAATTTCGCGATTTGATCGCGTAAGCTCCGACAACGATTAATGTAACAGTTGGCCTTCTCCCCTAGGGCCATTTTTGTCTACAGTAGCTGCTCGAGCAGGCGGCTCGATGAAACGGAGCCCTTTGGTTGGTAGAAACCGTTTTGGTGTCGCCAAGTGTCGAGGGCTAGAGCAGATGTTGTTTTGTACGATGAGATGCTCAGCTGCTTTGTCGGCGACATATTTTGCAGTAAGACACCGTATGGGCCCGGATATAGGCGCCGTCCGATTAAAAGCGCCGGAGCTTATATCTAGAGCATGGCGTATACACATAGCAAAATATGTCTGGAGCATGGCGTATACACATAGCGTATATCTGGAACATGTTTTGCAGTAAGACACCGTATACCATTTCTTAAATCATGAACCTTGATTGTGCAGAAAGAATTGTTTCTTCGCTGGGGCGGGAGGTCTTGGGAGTTGAGCCATTCGTTTTGAGGGAGAAGGTGTGCGGGGTGGTATTGTGACCATTTGAGGCCGGTTGAGGGGGTTGGGAAGATATTCCCGCGTCGCCATTCCGCAATGCTTGGAGTCCTTGCTCCAAGTTCGTGAGTCGCTGAAGCAGTTGCTCGAGGACGGCGGTTCCGATCGTCGTCGTCGCCTCTTTTGTTGCAGCCGGGTTGGGCTGCGCTTTAGCGGTCAGATTCGTCTGACCTCCAGATCCACCGGCCATCATTAAGCGCGAGCGTGTGCTGGACGCCACTTTAGGTCGCCGATGATTTCGGGGGTGGCGTTGCGAAGGATTCATGAGTCGCGCTCATATCATGCTGCAATCAAAAGTTGATCGTAACCAGGATCTCCTCAGGAAGGTTCGCAGAAAGTAGTTTGTTGGTGGTGGGCCCTTGACCTTGAATTAGAGTGAATGTAAAATGATCGAGATAATTAAAACATGCAAGTACAAGCACATAAATGTCGGAATCCCAGGCACTAACCACAGGGATAAAAGGGCTTGTTTATGTAGCTGGTGAGTGCGTCCATAACCCCCCTGGCGAACGCGTCTGTAACCCTCCCAAGGATCAATCGGGGATCTCACAGTGCAGATCTACTGACACCCTCCTCGCACTGGGAGGCCCACGACTGAGCACAGCGGCACCTGCCTGCATGTGCTTACATCGGGATTCGAACCCGAGACCGCTCTGATACCATGTCAAAATCCAAGCAACTAACCACTGGGATAAAAGGGCTTATTTGTGTAGCGGATGAGTGCGCCCATACCCCCCCACGCGAACGCGCCTGTAATCTTCCCAAGGATCAATCGGGGATCTCACAGTGTAGATCTACTGACAATAAATAGTAGTACAAAGGGGATACCAATCGTCCTAGCTAGTCATGTACTCTAAGAAGTACATTCCCTTATTCAAAATCAAACCCAACCGTGCGGTGCATACAGTTACGAACCTGTTCCTGCCAATTCCGTCGCTCCTGCAGCTGCCCGATGCCGTCTGCTCTGACGGTCCAGATGCATCCAACTATCTGCGTCGCTTCGAGTCGTTATCTGGCTCTTCGTTTCCAGCTCCGAGACTGTGTGCTTCATTTGGTGCTATCAAGAGTGCACAGTCTTCCTTCTTAATTCACCATTCGTAACACGGGGAGCAGAGGGGGTTGAGGGAGCAGAGGGGGTTGGGGGAGCTGAGGGGGTCGGGGGAGCTGAGGGGGTCGGGGGAGCTGAGGGGGTCCGGGGAGCTGAGGGGGTCGGGGGAGCTGAGGGGGTTGGGGGAGCTGAGGGGGTTGGGGGAGCTGAGGGGGTTGAGGGAGCAGAGGGGGTTGAGGGAGCAGAGGGGGTTGGGGGAGCTGAGGGGGTTGGGGGAGCAGAGGGGGTTGGGGGAGCAGAGGGGGTTGGGGGAGCAGAGGGGGTTGGGGGAGCAGAGGGGGTTGGGGGAGCAGAGGGGGATGGGGGAGCAGAGGGGGTTGGGGGAGCAGAGGGGGTTGGGGGAGCAGAGGGGGTTGGGGGAGCAGAGGGGGTTGGGGGAGCTGAGGGGGTTGGGGGAGCAGAGGGGGTTGGGGGAGCAGAGGGGGTTGGGGGAGCAGAGGGGCTAGATGTGCTGCTGCTGGAGGCTGCAGCATCAGAGCGGTTCACATTAGAGTCTGCTCTGTAGACTTGGCCAGCGTTGACACTTGTGTCGGGTTGGGTACTGGTACACATTCTTGTTATGTTCTTGTGCATATCAAGCTTTCTGAACCAAAGGTTGTCGTACACAGAGAATGATTTGAGGCAAAACAACAGTATGTGTTATACAAACAACTATGAAATATTTGTGATTAGCATCAATACCGGAATTCAACTGGTGCTGAGCTGTGAACGCCACCTCAGGCTTCTGATTGATTTTCCATGCTATCTAAACGTTTCGGTTAAAAAGGCATGTTGCATTAGTGTAATTCGTTACCCCGTCAGCTCTTATTGGAGCAAACAACAAGGTGAGAAGCCAGGGGAGCGCCAGGAAGCTCCTGCTGGTGCTGCCGCTGCTGCTGGTGGTGGTGCTGCTGGTGATGGTGCTGCTGGTGATGGTGCTGCTGCTGATGGTGCTGTTGCTGATGGTGCTGTTGCTGATGGTGCTGTTGCTGATGGTGCTGCTGCTGATGGTGTGGTGATGCTGCTGATGTTGCTGCTGGTGCTGGTGCTGATGCCAGTGCTGCTGCAGCTGCTGCTGCCAATTTCCATGGTAATAGCAGCAATGGTGCTGGTAAACATTTCACGGACTGGTTCCTGTATGTGGACATGTGGTAAGGGGGAATGGGAGTCAGTGAGAGGAGTGTGACTTGGCCCTACAGTAAGTGTGGAATTACGGTTGAGTACATTGAAAGTGTAAAAAACATATGTAGATAACATCAGTGCAGGGGTACGTTACATAAGATGAAGAATGTACACACACACGCACACACAGGCACACGCACACACGCATGCGCATACATACACACACGAAATGACGAACCTGAGATTGAAACCACGTCCTTCCACAAAACACCGACTCCTCTAAATCTGCAGCACCGAGAACATCGGGCTTTCAAATGTCACAATGCTTGAGAGAGCTGGCGGCACGTGAAAGTGCCCACATTCCCCCACCACAAATTCCTCCAGTCCGAGAAGCTGCCCGCAAGTTCCGGGCAGACTGCTGAGCATGGGGCACTGGATGATTCGCAGAACCCGAAGATTTGAAAGCTTCCCGAATGATGATGGGATATACCAGAGCTTCTCGCAGCCCTCCATCTCGAGCTCTCGGAGAAAACTCAACCGTCCAAATGAATTTGGGAGAGATTTGATGCCTGGAGCTGATAGGAAAACCTTTTCCAGCTTTTGCAGATCGCCCATTGATTCGGGCAGGGACTCAAAACTTTCAAAGACATCCAGGTGCAGGGTGCGGAGAGATTTTAGCCGCCCAAAGAACTTGGGCAGGGCAGCAAACGAAGCACACCGGGAAATGGTGAGGGTTTCTAGAAAAGAAAGGGCGGTTGTTGATGTAGGCAGCTCCGAAAGAAACCGGCAAGAGTGAAGTTTGAGGTGTATGAGTTGCGGCAAGCTGCCCAGGGTTTCGGGCAGGTGGGTCAAAGTGCCGCAGCAAGAGAGTGTAAGGCTGGTCAGGGAAGAAAGAGAATGGATGGCTTCAGGCAGCTCTGAAAGGACCATGCATTCGAGCTCCAGGCTAGTCAGAGATGTTAGCAGAGTCATTGAGGCAGGCAGGGAAGAAAGTTCCATTGACCGAATGCGAACTGAACTGAGAGAACCTCCCAGTGGGCCAAAAACGTCGGGCAGGTGAGAAAGTTTGTCACTAGCGATGGTCAGATCCAAAAGATTTGTCAGGTTGCCCAACGTTTCGGGCATGCTTTCCAGGTTAGAATCATCCCAAAATCCGTTCTCCCATTTTCCAATCTTCAGCATCCTAAGTTTTTTCGCCTGCCCAAGTTCATCCGGGATCACCACTGGCGAGCGGTTTAAGCTCTCAAACGTGAATAGCTCCAGCTTCGGGCAGCCGCGAAAAATCGCCATCAGCGCAGTTTCTCCGAACGTGGCCCCGTAGCCTTGGTGACCGATCCGAAGCTCCCTCAGGTTCGGACAGTACCTTGAAACTGTTTCCAGAATAGGATCGGAAGTCCAAGCCAAGGAGTTGTCCGGAAAGGTTAGGGAAGCTAGGTTCGGGAAGTTGAGGAGGGAAAGGAGGATTCGGCAGCGCCGGTCCTGCTCGAATGTGATTGAAACGAGGGCTTCATAAGCTAGGCGGCGCCAGTGGCGACAGACCAGGGCGTGAGCGAAATTGCCGCGCCTTCCTGGAAGGCGCCGGAAGACATTGACGATGACGTCATCATCTAGGTCTAGAATGCTAGGATCATCATGATGAGTTGGCGGGTCTGGGTCAGAGCACTTTGTTACTGCAGCAATGGTTTGTCGAGGAGACATTTCTGGGTCAGAGCACTTCGTTACTGGCGCAATGGTTTGTTGTAGAGGAGGCATGACTGGGTCATGTATGCTGAGATAGTGGTGTCACTGCTGAGAATCCTTAGAAGTCTGCGCCATGTGTGGGGTGGGAAGCATCTGGAACGCGGGAGAGGATGGATGGGTCGAAGGCGGGTGGAGGGGGGGGAGAGGGAAGGGGAGAGCGGGAGGGAGTGGGGTGGGGTGAGAAGAGTGAGGATGAAGCAGAGGGAAGAATTGGTGTTGTTTGCTTGTGTATTGTGAAGAATGATTTGGTCAAGAGAAAGCTGGTTGCCTCATATAGTGGATTTTCAAGTTTGTCGTTAACGAAGGGGAGCACCTGGAAAGAGTTTTGAGTTGACTCAAAACTCGACTCGGGAGCACCTGGAAGGGGAGAACGGAAGGGGTGGGGGGAGCATGGGAGAGTGGAAGGGGAGAGAGGGGAAAAATAAGGAAAAGGGGAGCGCGGAGAGAAAGGGAAAAAGGGAGTATGGGAGAGGCAAAGGGAGGAAATTAGCTTGAAGTTGTTTTATTGAACATCTAGTAAATCGATTTGCGTAGCTTCAAGGAATCGACTGCAGAAATGTAGCGAATGGAGGGAGGGAATTGAAGGAGGGAGTGTGGGAAGGAGGGGGAAGAGAAAGAGTGAAAGGATTGGGGAAAGTGAGGATACGAAGGGTATGTTATCCGGTCGATTCCTTTAAAGGTTTGACAAGAAGTGGCGAGAGTGCGGCGAATGGAACGTTTCACAAAGTAAACAAGGCGTGGTTCGAAAAAGAACGCCAACCGAGAAGGCTGTGCTGGGGTTCCGACATTTTACAGAGTAAACAAGGCGTGGTTCTAACGAGTACCAGAGAAAAGACGAATTGAGGACGCATAGCCTAACGTACTATTCCTGATGAATTTTACTGACCTGGTTCCGTCGTCATTCAAATGAGCTCCCTTTTTAACCCTTTCCTCTTGTCTTCCGCACCAGGTTACCCGCCAAGGTTTCACGTTAGAATAAAGCCTTGCTTCTCGCGAGGACAATTCCTGTGCGGTTCCGTCACTAAGTTATACGGAGATTGGACATAAGGAAGGTAAAGGAGGTGCGCTGAACGATGCTCCTACGAAAGATTAGCATTCATTGTCATGACAACTTACGAGCTTACATGAAATGAAACGAGCTGATGAAATCTGAATGCTCTAGAGGATAACCACGATGTCAACCACGATGTTGCTTTTGCTCCTACAAGACTGCCTGAAAATTAGAAATCAAAATGCCGAAGTGCTCAGTGACTAGCCGTGTCAGCAGATTGCAAGGCAAGTTGCCCCAACTACTCACAGAATGTGATAGCGAGCAGAAACCGCTGTTCATCTTATATAAGCCTTCCAAACCGTATTGGAGGGTGCACAGCAGACCAACGCGCAGACCAACCACCTCGATCGCGTTAAGGACGTGTAGGGCGTATCACATTGTTTTACTTTTTCGTCCGGATGGGCCACCGTCAGAACGACTGTGTGGTTACAAAACTCGTTAAATATCGGCAGTTAGTTCGTCAGGGTCTAAACGACGTCGCATGCTTCGTTTTGCTTACTTACGACATCATATTGGTCGCCACGCGACCGCACGACGTCGCAATCTTCGCACGCGTTCGGACCACCGTCCGGACATTCAGTGATTTTGAAAAAATGTAGCACGGCCTAACCATTTTGCCCCCGACGGTTCGAGCCGTGGACCGTCCGGACTGGTGACGGGATACCGTTTTCGCATCATTTCGTTAGTATATTCGTGAACGCTTTAACGATCGTGCAAAATTGAAAGAGGTAACACGCCCTGATTGTACTTGGGCTCATCAAATTTGCCTTTGAGGTATTCGCAATAGTAGTGGTCCTAGTAAGGAGATGAATTGTAGAATTCTAGACAAAAACATGAAAGAAAATATCCATTCTTCCTCTTCAAGGAGACAACTCTCCCATATGCTCCACAACGAAGCGGCACGTATGGTCTGATGCAGGATCAGCCACAAGCGTCCCATTACCCAACATGCCTGCAAATAATGCAAATGTGCTAATGTATCGAGTGAAGCTTGCCAATACCGCCCCTTTGCCAAGAAGCACAAAATCAGCCAGCGTCGCCAAATGACTCCCACCCGTTTTTGACAAATGAACCGCAGGCGAAACTGAAAAATACACCTCCCCAAATGGTCGTAAAATCTCCACCACTTGCGATCGGAGAATATCCGTATCTGTAGCCACAAATATCCTGAGGTGGCCGAGATGAGTGGCTGAAGGCCCGCCAGGTGGCACAATCGAGGCCACAAGATTTGAATCTTCAACCGTCCATTCGCCCTGCAACCTTCTCCTTTGCTGAAGCTTCCTTCTCCTGTTCAGCTTCCTCCTTACTTTAGCACCGCGCTGCCGCGAATACTCTAGCAGGCGCCGCTTCGTACTCGAAGCTGCTATTAAAGAGGATATGCTGGAGGTATCGTTAGGATGAGGAGAAGAAGGAGCTGCAGCAGAGGGAGGCGCCGGTTCTGAATGTGAGGGTGGGGCGGAGGGGAGGGCGGAAGGAGATGGAGAAGCAGCACTTGGGGGTGCAGCGGGGGATGAAGGGGATGATGGTGAATGGGTTGGTGATGGTGAAAGGCCGGGTGATACAGGCGATGATGAAGCAGGGGCTGGTGCGGCGGCTGTAGTGCTGGCAGACCAGGCAGCAGCGGCGGCTGTAGCGTTGGGGAAGCCACCGGCAGCCGCCTTCTTGACGCGCAGGAACTGCGCCAGCCTAGCGATGCAGCGCCAGCGGTTGGGCTTCATGAGGTTGTGCGCGCGAGAGATCTCCGCCTGCTGGGCTCGCTCCTGGCAACGCGTGTCCTTGTCTCCACAGTGATCGCCCTCCACATTGCTGGTTGGGGAAAGGAATGGGGAGGACAGGTGGATTGAAAGGAGAGATGAGATTACTCACTCACACCCCCACCTGCTTGCTGCGCTCACTCCTGGCAGTTGACGTCCTTGTCCCCGCAGTGATCGCCCTCCACGTTGCTGGTTGGGGAAAGGAATGGGGAGGACAGGTGGATTGAAAGGAGAGATGAGATTACTCACTCACACCCCCACCTGCTTGCTGCGCTCACTCCTGGCAGTTGACGTCCTTGTCCCCGCAGTGATCGCCCTCCACGTTGCTGGTTGGGGAAAGGAATGGGGAGGACAGGTGGATTGAAAGGAGAGATGAGATTACTCACTCACACCCCCACCTGCTTGCTGCGCTCACTCCTGGCAGTTGACGTCCTTGTCCCCGCAGTGATCGCCCTCCACGTTGCTGGTTGGGGAAAGGAATGGGGAGGACAGGTGGATTGAAAGGAGAGATGAGATTACTCACTCACACCCCCACCTGCTTGCTGCGCTCACTCCTGGCAGTTGACGTCCTTGTCCCCGCAGTGATCGCCCTCCACGTTGCTGGTTGGGGAAAGGAATGGGGAGGACAGGTGGATTGAAAGGAGAGATGAGATTACTCACTCACACCCCCACCTGCTTGCTGCGCTCACTCCTGGCAGTTGACGTCCTTGTCCCCGCAGTGATCGCCCTCCACGTTGCTGGTTGGGGAAAGGAATGGGGAGGACAGGTGGATTGAAAGGAGAGATGAGATTACTCACTCACACCCCCACCTGCTTGCTGCGCTCACTCCTGGCAGTTGACGTCCTTGTCCCCGCAGTGATCGCCCTCCACGTTGCTGGTTGGGGAAAGGAATGGGGAGGACAGGTGGATTGAAAGGAGAGATGAGATTACTCACTCACACCCCCACCTGCTTGCTGCGCTCACTCCTGGCAGTTGACGTCCTTGTCCCCGCAGTGATCGCCCTCCGCGTTGCTGGTTGGGGAAAGGAATGGGGAGGACAGGTGGATTGAAAGGAGAGATGAGATTACTCACTCACTCACACCCCCACCTGCCTGCTGCGCTCACTCCTGGCAGTTGACGTCCTTGTCCCCGCAGTGATCGCCCTCCACGTTGCTGGTTGGGGAAAGGAATGGGGAGGACAGGTGGATTGAAAGGAGAGATGAGATTACTCACTCACACCCCCACCTGCCTGCTGCGCTCACTCCTGGCAGTTGACGTCCTTGTCCCCGCAGTGATCACCCTCCACGTTGCTGGTTGGGGAAAGGAATGGGGAGGACAGGTGGATTGAAAGGAGAGATGAGATTACTCACTCACTCACACCCCCACCTGCTTGCTGCGCTCACTCCTGACAGTTGACGTCCTTGTCCCTGCAGTGATCGCCCTCCACGTTGCTGGTTTGGAGGAAAGATACAAAAAGGTAGGAAGGAGATGGAGAGAGACGAGAAGGGAAAATATGTGGAAAAAATGGAAAGAGGTGGTGATGGATTTGGTGTGCCCCTAGAAGCTTGGAACTACTGGAGCAGAGTACTTCCTCATCATTGTTGACAGCTACATTCACATGACCTGGGTATATGTGTTGTCCACGAAAAATGACGTAGCTGAAAATGTGAACACCGATTGGTTGCCGACTATGTGGAAAAAGACGCGTCCTGCGTCTAGGACGCATGCGTCCAGACGCAGGACGCAAGATTCTGGCTGATGAGGCGCAGCAAAAGACGCAGGCCCGGGCAGGCAAAAAAAACCCCGGGCAGCCCAAAAAAATAGTTATAGGGCAGAGGGGAGTGGGGGAACAGGGCCGTAGCCCACTTTCATGACAAAATTTCACCCCAAAGACAAAATTTCCCCCAAGAGTTATAGAGCATGGTGAGATTGCTACATCTAGCCATAACGGACATGCGCGCAAAGGAGCTTGGGTTTTCGAAGGAGAATTGGGTTGCTACAAAGAGTGAGCACAAATGAGTGGTTTCTAGCACTAAATGGGCTTGGTGGTGGTGGTGGGCTACAATGGTTGGGTTTTCTAGATGTGGAGTGGTGGAGAGGGTTGGGATTCTCAACTCAATTTTGCATGAAGGGGATAAAAAGGGGTTAGATGGCTGTTTTTGGTGGTTGAAATTGGTTAGGGGGGTCGAAATTTGGCGAAAATGACATTCGAGACGAAATCGCGAATGTCAATTTCGCGATCGCGATTTTTTTCCGATCTGCCCGAAAAATTTCTCGCTGTGCGTCCTGCGTCTCTACGTCCGGACGCAGGACGCAGGACACCCCCAGCGTCTTTCTCCACATAGGTTGCCGATCATGGAGTGGCAACAAGACCGGCTAGTGAAGTCAATCCGCACTAATGGAAGGGAAAGTTCTTGAAAACCAAACGTGGCTGAAGAGGAATGGCATAAAACACTCCTCCACTATGCCATACTCCATTGCAATGAACGGCATGACCGAGCGTGCAAACCGGACACTCACGGACACAGCACGCGGGCTTCTCATTGAAGCCCGCTACCCGACGTTTTCCAGCCAGATGCTGTGCGGCATGCGTGTTTGGTAAGAACATGCAGCAACAGCACCAGCCGGAGAATGAAGAAGAATGATAATGCCCTCATATGCGCTTGCATGGCGACCCCCCTTTTGAACTCATACAGAGTGCCCGCGAATAGTTATCGAGAGGTCAAACTGTTGTCACCCCTCACCTTTCGCCACCACCCTTAGATAGACCATACACAGCCCTCCAAAAAAACCTCAAAACACTCCCTTTGACTTGAACTTACACTGAGTGCCCACGGATGTGAATCGACAGGTCAAACTGCAGCCTCAGCCCCTCCCCTTTGGCGACCATCTGCGGCTCCACCTTCCCTCCCTTCTCCTCCCCCTCCTCCATCCCCATCCCTCCCCCTCGGAACACCAGCGGCGGCACCACTCTGAGGTCCCTATCAACCACCTCTTGCACCCCCGGCTTGGGGCCCTTGCCGAGGAGGAGAGAGAGCACTTGCGACTGGATGCACCAGAGGGAGCGGCAGTTGAATGCGTCGTGCACGCACTGGTTGATCTGAGGGTCTCTGCGCCAAAAGGCATCGAAGAATGAACCTGGTGGGAGTGGCAGGGAGTGGATGGGATGGGGAAGTGGATGGAGGAAGAGCACTTGTGACTGGATAAGCCAGAGGGAGCGGCAGGAGAAGGCGTCGTGCACACACTGGTTGATTTGAGGGTCTCTGCGCCAAAAGGCATCGAAGAATGAACCTGGTGGGAGTGGCAGGGAGTGGATGGGATGGGGAAGTGGATGGAGGAAGAGCACTTGTGACTGGATAAGCCAGAGGGAGCGGCAGGAGAAGGCGTCGTGCACTCACTGGTTGATTTGAGGGTCTCTGCGCCAAAAGGCATCGAAGAATGAACCTGGTGGGAGTGGCAGGGAGTGGATGGGATGGGGAAGTGGATGGAGGAAGAGCACTTGTGACTGGATAAGCCAGAGGGAGCGGCAGGAGAAGGCGTCGTGCACACACTGGTTGATTTGAGGGTCTCTGCGCCAAAAGGCATCGAAGAATGAACCTGGTGGGAGTGCCAGGGAGTGGATGGGATGGGGAAGTGGATGGAGGAAGAGCACTTGTGACTGGATAAGCCAGAGGGAGCGGCAGTTGAATGCGTCGTGCACACACTGGTTGATCTGAGGGTCTCTGCGCCAGAAGGCATCGAAGAACGCTCCTGGTGTGAGAGGGAAGGGTGTGGGATGGGGGAAGATACAGAAGAATAGTAGTTGAGCCTGCGAATCATCAAACCCCCCTCCTTTCATGCCTTAAAGCCCACAAGCCCACATATATGTTCAAGAATAAAAGGCAATACATACCCGAGGTGACAGCCATAACAGGGGAATAGTAGTTGAGCCCGTGAATCACTAGCTCCCTTCCCTCCATGAGCTTTGTGTGCTTGCGCATATCCCCTTTATAGTGCAACTCGTCTAGCCCGCAGTAGAACGCATCGCACAGGCGCTCCAGGACCTGGAAATTGGAGGATGGAATGAGGAGGGTGAGGAGGGGAGGGCGAGGGCATTTAGAAAAAAGGGGCACCTTAGCAGGATAGGATTCGCCACACATGTTCATACTGCATGCCCCATACTCTCCAGGTGTATGCCCCATACAGGTGTATGCCCCATACTGCATGTCCATCGGTCTCACATGTTCATACTGCATGCCCCATACTCTCCCCCTCCCTCAGCTTCTTGCGAGTCCCCCCAAGCCACCTGAGGAGCCTCCTTCCCCACAGCAGGGCATGGAATTTTGAGACGTCTCAAAAGTCACAGCAGGGCATGAAATCCAGAAGGTATTGAAAAATGAGTTCGCGCTTTTTCTTTCCCACCCCAACACCTGAAACCATGCACCCTAAACTCTGAGACACCAGAACTCCCCCCCCCTCCCCCCCCCCCCCCCCCCCCCCCAATTCCTCACCTTTCTGTGGGAACCCCCGTGCCAGCGCAGGAACCTCTGTCCCGACAGCAGGGCAAAGATGAAGGCCGAAGTGTAACCTCTCAGCGATTTGCCCAGCCCAAACACCAACAACCGTATACCTGAAACCCCCAGGCAAACCTCACCTTCCTGTGGGAACCCCCGTGCCAGCGCAGGAACCTCCGTCCCGACAGCAGGGCAAAGATGAAGGCCGAAGTGTAACCTCTCAGCGAGTTTCCCAGCCCAAACACCAACAACCGTATACCTGAAACCCCCAGGCAAAACCTCACCTTCCTGTGGGAACCCCCGTGCCAGCGCAGGAACCTCCGTCCCGACAGCAGGGCAAAGATGAAGGCCAAAGTGTAACCTCTCAGCGAGTTTCCCAGCCCAAACACCAACAACCGTATACCTGAAACCCCCAGGCAAAACCTCACCTTCCTGTGGGAACCCCCGTGCCAGCGCAGGAACCTCCGTCCCGACAGCAGGGCAAAGATGAAGGCCGAAGTGTAACCTCTCAGCGAGTTGCCCAGCCCAAAGCGCGGCGCCCAGATGAGCCAGCGCTCCCGGGACATATCACCCTGAAGCGCCTGAGAGATGGGCAGCTGCGTCTCCTTGCCCACCCCAGCCCACGAGATCAGAAGGTCCAGCGGGAGGGGCTCATGCTTCTCCTGTTGCCGTCGCACGTTGCCGAGGGTCTTGAGCTCGGTCTCGTTGGCGTCGTGGCCGTGAATGGGCTGGTTGGTGTAGGCTGGCGGGGGGAGGACGCCCTTGCATGAAGGGGTGTTCTGTAGGGGTGGAGAGGGAGGGAAGCAGAGGGGCAGGAAATGAGGGGGAGACAGAGAAAGAGTATGTCGTCAGTAGAGACTTGGTGCAGGGGTCGCAAAATCCAAGAAGGCGAGAATGGGGGGGATTTTGAGCTCGGTCTCATTGGCGATGCGGCCGTGAATGGGCTCGTTGGTGTAGGCTGGCGGGGGGAGGACGCCCTTGCATGAAGGGGTGTTGTGCAGCAAGCGAGGGGAGGGAAGGGAGGGGAGATGAGAGTGAGAAGCAGGTCTTGTTGGCGGTTGGCATAGGCTGGCGGGGGGAGGATGCCGTTGCATTATGGGGTGCTCTGTAGGCGAGAGTGGGGCAGGTTAGGGTATGAGATGGGGATGGGGAGTTGGAGAGTGGGAGGGCAATTGTGGTTGATTTTGCGGCCGAGAATGGGCAGGTCGGTGAGAGGAGGATGCGCTTGCACGAGGGAGTGTCACAGCTTGCAGGGGAGGGGAGGGGAGGGAGTGTGGCCACAGCTTGCTTTTAATCCACCCACGTGCCGTGGCGCCGTTCCCCTGCACACTGAAGCACACACCCCTCAAAGAGGTACAGCATTCTTGCGCGGACAAGAAATGCTACACAGGGGAACCAAATGTCGAGGCAAGTAGATTGAGGGCGCAAGCAACCCTGGAGCCTTCTGAAAAAAACTGCGTTGGAAGTGACTGGGAATCCACGCATTGGCTTGTAATGACTCCACGTCACACATCGATGCGTCGAAGAGGACATACGGAACAAAATGGCGGATACCGTATGTCTGAACCCGGAATCGAACCGGAGACCTCCAGTGTGTGAGACTGGCGTGATAACCGACTACACCATCCAGACGGTGTGAATAAGGATGAAGAACCATGTGGCCTGTTCCGGCGAGAATGCTCTAGGATGAGGAGGTGCTGTGCAATTGAAGGAGGCTGGCGCAGGGAGGATGTCTTTACATGAGTGGATGTTCTGTAGGGATGAGGGGGGGTTGGAAACCGGCCAGTGCTGATTCAACAACACTACCTCAGGGGCATCTTACTTGTGAGTGAAGTGAAGTTGTAGGCATCTTCTCTTCCATCCATACAACAGTGCGGACCTATTTTTGAGTCGACTCAAAAATAGCTTCACTTGCAAGTGAAGTGAAGTTGTAGGCACCTTCTCTTCTTTACAACAATGCGAACCAGACCCCCCACCTAAACATGCCTTGCCAGCTGTCGCCCAACAACACTCCACCAGCCGTTTCCACTTGACAGCAGCAGCAGCAGCAGCAGCAGCAGCAGCAGCAGCAGCAGCAGCAGCAGCAGCAGCAGCAGCAGCAGCAGCAGCAGCAGCAGCAGCAGCAGCAGCAGCAGCAGCAGCAGCAGCAGCAGCAGCAGCAGCAGCAGCAGCAGCAGCAGCAGCAGCAGCAGCAGCAGCAGCAGCAGCAGCAGCAGCAGCAGCAGCAGCAGCAGCAGCAGCAGCAGCAGCAGCAGCAGCAGCAGCAGCAGCAGCAGCAGCAGCAGCAGCAGCAGCAGCAGCAGCAGCAGCAGCAGCAGCAGCAGCAGCAGCAGCAGCAGCAGCAGCAGCAGCAGCAGCAGCAGCAGCAGCAGCAGCAGCAGCAGCAGCAGCAGCAGCAGCAGCAGCAGCAGCAGCAGCAGCAGCAGCAGCAGCAGCAGCAGCAGCAGCAGCAGCAGCAGCAGCAGCAGCAGCAGCAGCAGCAGCAGCAGCAGCAGCAGCAGCAGCAGCAGCAGCAGCAGCAGCAGCAGCAGCAGCAGCAGCAGCAGCAGCAGCAGCAGCAGCAGCAGCAGCAGCAGCAGCAGCAGCAGCAGCAGCAGCAGCAGCAGCAGCAGCAGCAGCAGCAGCAGCAGCAGCAGCAGCAGCAGCAGCAGCAGCAGCAGCAGCAGCAGCAGCAGCAGCAGCATATTCGTAACTAAACAACTCACTTAGTGCTCATCGCATTGAAACAGGCTCCTCGGATGAACATGTTCAGCTGTCAACCAGCAGCAACCTGTCCACTAGCAACAGCAGAACTTAACTAAGTGCTCACCGCAATGTCATATCGATCTTCTCGCAGAAACATGCTGTGCCTGCTGCTGCTGTGGTGCGAGCCAGCAGCAGCAGCCTCTCCCTAACTAAACACTCCACTTAACTCAGCGCTTACCACAATGTCATATCGGGCTTCCCGCATGAACATGCCGCGCCAGCTGTCGCCCAGCCGCGCCACGGGCCACTGCCATTGGTAGCTGTCGTGGTGCTGAGTCAGCATCTCCTCCTCGTCTCCCACCTCGTTCCGCCACCGGAACGCCGACTCTCCCTTTTCCTGAGGCCCGGCCACCCACCCATCCACCAGCCTCCTCCTCCTCCTCCTTCTCGTTCTCGTTCTCCCTCTCCTGCTTGTCTTTTCAATCGCTGTTCTCTTGGTATTCTCTGGCAGCCCAGCCATCCATCCGTCCACCAGCCTTCGTCTCCGCGTCCTCCCGCCTCTTCTGACCCCCTTGGGAACTCCACTCACTCCTCTCCTCTTTCCACTCTCTTCCCTCACTTCCCTCACCGCCCTCACTCCACTGTTCTTCCCCTCTTTCCGCCTGCGAAATCTACTAACCCCTGTGCCCTCTCTCACCCTGCGGTCAATTCCCCCCTGCCCTTCCATTTGAGCACTCCCTTCCCCCTTCCACGCATCAATCTCTCTAATGAGAGACTCGATAATATCTTCCTCATTCTCTTCCCCTTCCTCTTCCTCCCCCCCTTCCTCCTCTTCGTCAGCTTCTTCCACCTCCTCCTCCTCCTCCACCGCGTCCTCCTCGCCTTTCTCCTCCTTCTCTTCCCCATCATCGCCACTCATTTCAAGCACCTCTCTCTCCTTACTCTCCAACTCCTCCCCACTCTTCAAACCTCTCTCTTTCCCCGCATTCAACTCATCACCCCCACCATGTTTAGCGACCATCCTCCCCCCACCATCACCATTCCGCAGATCCTCGCCGTCCATCTGACCCGGCCCTGATCCCTCGGGTTCATCTCCGTCGTCCGTCTCTCGGAGCCTCAATCCCTCCTGATGCCCGTCGTCTCGATCCGTTCCTGACAGCGTAATCCCCAACCCTCTCCCCTCCTCCAACCCTACCTCTTCCCCCGTTTCAGTCACATCGTTCCAGTCACACCCCTCCCATTCCTCGCACGGCAGAATCAACTCCAAGAGCGGGTCGCGAGTTACCGGCAGTCTTCTGCCAGCACTAGTTGACGGCCGGTAACCACCAGTTGACGGCCCGTAACCACCAGTTGACGGCCGGTAACTACCTGCCGGACTACTACTGCTCAAGGGCTGGAAAGTTCCAGTGAAGCTTCTGGTCGGCGTCCAATCGCTATCAGTAACTAATTCCGGTCGACTGCTTTTACTAACGGCGGCCGGTAACTCCGTCCCTCGGGCGCTGGTTGCATCAGACGGAACTTGACGGCCGTCAGTTGACAAAGACCCTGACGGATGGTCTGCTGACACCGGGACCGATAAAAGCGGGTTGATGATTAGTAAGATTACCAGCACAATCACTTCTAATCGAATGCAAGTGATTATAACGCGCGCCGCGGGCTTCTTGAGAGCTGCGGCTGCCATGGCTAGTAATAACCGAAGGAAAATCGATGCGTCCGTGAAGCATTAAGCGCTGCTAACTTGTGACATTACCGAGTTGGCTTTTGAGTCGACTCAAAAGTCAACGAAGCATGAAGCGCTGCTAACGAATGTCCTTCAGGCTGCGGAAAGACACACTCGAACGACGCTCCGAAAAACACGGCATGGCATTATCAAAATCCAGCGGGCGCTGAACTTCAGCGAAAAAATCGCGCGAGAATCGGAACTTTGCTTGCGTATCAGCAGACACGACTTTCAACGAGAGAATCTGTTGCAAGCTCCAAGCTTCTAGAGGCATTCTGTAGGAGATGCTGATGTTAGGGATTCCTCAAATAACAATGGCTGGCATCACCAGCAGTCTCTTGGAAAATGTGCCTGATGTTGATGCTGAGAACCGCCAAGGCGTGTTTTGCCAGAGCTGAAACAGCCAAGTCGCGAATACTTCTCTGTACTTTCTGTCCTGTTGTTATTTCAGGGAAAGTAGCCGTTGGGAACTAGGGGTCGTCACTGTTCCGGAGGGATGCATAGGTGCGAATTAAATACGAAACAAAGAAGATTAATAAACCCCGCTTCTCCCAATTGGTTACTTCCGCTAAGTGCCACGCTCATCGTCCAATGACAAAGGTTGGCCAACCTGTTTCCAAAGTTTTTCGGTCCCGCACCCGATTTCAGGTCAAGCTGTATCGAGCTTCAACCAATCGAGTCCTAAAACGAACGACCCGCGTTACATTTGCTGGACCTCGTGTCACAGCTCCTCCGCTGTACCACAGCAGGCGGTTCTGACACTTTCAACAAAACGGTTAAGCACGGTTCTGTATGCTTTCAAGCGGTTTGTCTCTCTGTCAAACCCCGTGCACCTTTCTGAATATCCTATTTGTTGTAAATCACCAGATTTCACAGAACCCCTGAACCTTCAACCCTTCCGAGCCTTAGAAGGCGGCATTTCCCTAACCTCCCACCACCACCACAAGGCCTCACACCACCTGCATTCATTATCCCCTTCTTCCGCTTCCTCTTCCCTCTTCTAGTCGTAGATTGTTGTTGATCGGACGGCGTCCCTTGTTTCCCAGTGCGCGGCTTCAGGCTAGTTGCGACACCAGTTCGAAAAGCAGTGGTGCTGGAACCGCGATCACTTACATTTCGCGATTTTGGAGCGTGCGTAACGGTCACCCGCTACTGAACGGGTAGCAGCCTCGTTACATACCTCTCCGTTTGCAACATAGAAGGCCACGTGTCATTGAACTGTCAAGAACAACAAGATTCTCAATTGAACATCTCGTTATTACACCATGGCGAAGTCGAAGCGTCGAAAGCAGCAGTCCCCGCACCATTCCCCAAATCCCGGACGGCCCGCGGCTCCACAGGGTTCTACAAAACCGAATGTGCCGCAAACGGGAATTCCACAAACGAATTCCACAAAACCCCGACCAGGGCAGGTTTACATCATGGATCCCCAATTGGTGACACGTGTCGAAAAGATATTGGCCGATAACGATTACGTGCCCGTGGAAGAAGTTGCGATGAAGCTTCGCGAGGCGCATCCGCGGGATTACCAGCGCAAGCCGCAAGGGCCGTTCTTAAAGAGCGTGACTAAAGCGGTGGAGGTACGTCAACCGTTGATCATTGAATTCAAGGTCCCCCTGAAGCCTGTGTTACGATTCAGTCCAGCGTATGCTTTTTGAGCGAAGTGAACTTATTATGTGAGCCGAATCCTGTTGAGAATTCTCAAAAGTGAATCCTGTTATTTCTGGATGAACTTCCCCTTCCCCACTCCCCACCCCACTCTCCTCGTCCCCCACGTCTCCTCCCCCCCCCTCTTCCTCCCTTCGAGCACGTCCCCGTTCCCCGTCTCAGGCGGCGCAGCAGCGGTTGGAGGGGGGAATGAGCCGCGAGCAGGCGGAGTTTGAGGCGAGCGTACGGGGGAAGAAGGCGGAAGGCGGACAGGCGGAAGGGGGAGGGGCGGAGGACCAGCGCTTGGCGCAGCTGGAGCAGGCGCACATGCGCGCAAGGGGGATTGTGGAGGCGGAGGGGGAAGATGAGGGGGAAGGAGAGGCGGAAAAGGAGGGGGAAGGGCAGGCGGAGGCGGAAGGGGAAGGTGAAGCGGGGGTCGATAAAGCCGCGGGGAAAGGAGTTACGCGGAGCAAAGGGGAGAAAGCTGGCGGAAAGGGTTCAACCGGGGTTGAGGGTTTAGCGGGAAGTGGGGGAGGGGTTGGGCTGGGGGAAGGGCGCAAAGGGGGAGATAGAGAGGAAATGGGAGATGCAGCGGTGGGGAGTGAGGGAGGAGAGAGTGTGGAGGGGGAGAATGAGGCGATGAGCGTGGAGTGGAGTGAGGGAGAGAGTGAGGGAGCGAGTGAGGGAGCGAGCGAGGGAGAGAGTGAGGGAGCGAGTGAGGGAGCGAGTGAGGGAGAGAGTGAGGAGCCACCAGAGAGCCCTAAGGACATTGGTACACGGGGCTTTAATCTCCTCAATGCGGCTCTCAGGAAGACATACGATAAGGCAGGAACACCAGGAGGCGGGAAGGGAGAAGGGAAGGGAGAAGGGAAAGGAGGAGGGAAAGCGGGAGATAAGGCAGTGGAAGGGAAATCGGCAGGGAAAGGTGAAAGGCCAGGCGCACGATCAGGGACAGGGGCAGGGGGAGGAGGAGGAGCAGGGACAGGTAAAGCTTCAGCTCCTGCGTTTGCGCCTCTGAGTGCTATCAAAGCAGCAGCTCTTAGGGAGGCGGAGCGACTGGCAGGCAAAGGGAAACAAGCGAGCGCAGGCGGAGCTGCTGGTAACCCTGTTGCTGTTCCTGGCGGCCCTGCTTCTGCTGCGGCTGTGGTTAGTGCTTCTGATGCTGGCACTGCCGCTGTCACTGCTGCAAATGCTGCTTCTGCTGTCGCTGCCGCCACCGCAACAGCAGCAGCTGCTGCTTCTGCTGCTGGTGTCTCAGTTTCTGCTGTGCCGGTTGTTGGGAATGGAGTGGCGGCTGTTGCTGGCGTTGATGCTGCAGGAGCGGCGTTGGAACAGCTGCAGCTGCAGCGGAATCAGGGGCAGGGACAGCAGGGGGAGCGAAGGGGCGTGAAGCGAAAGGAGAAGGATGTGATTGTAACGGATGTCACTAAACAGGAAGCGAATAAGGGCACCAGTGATATTGTAGTAGCAGGAGCAGGGGCAACAGAAGCAGGAGCAGGAGCAGCAGCAGGAAGAGGAGCAGGGGTAAAGCCAGCAACAGCAGTTAGGCTCCAAGGGGATTTTGTGCAAGAGAAGAAACCCGTTAGTGGCGCTTCTATAAGTGCTGGTGGCGCTAGTTTGAGCACTGCCGGTCCTGCCATGAGTACAGAGAGCCAAGGGAGCAAGCAGAGAGGGGGCAGAGGAGGGGTAGAGAGAGGGAGCAGAGAGGCAGGGAGCGGCAGGAAAGCAGTGAGTTCGCAAAATAGAGGAGAGGTGGGGGGACTGGCAGCAGGTGCGAAGCTTGGGGGAGTGGAAGAGGAGGAAGGGGGGGAAGGGGGAGAGGAGGGGACGAATAGGGTGGCTGGAAGGGGGAGGGTGAGTGAGGGGGGAAGAGGGTCGGAACGAGAGAGGCAGTCAGAGGGGCTAAGTAAAGGTGTCGACACCAGCAGAGATCTTATGAGAGACAGGGTAAAGCGGGTGGGCACTAAAGGGAAGAAAAAGGCCGGGGCTAGAGGTTCGGGCGTGGCGGATATCTTCCCAGACGAAGCAGGTCCGGGAGAGGGAGGTTCGGCCCGAGCCGCACCTCGGGAGGTCCGGTTTGCGGATTTTGGAGGCATTGACGGGGTGGTGGAGCAGGTTCGGGAGCTGATTCTGTACCCGCTGGCGCATCCGGAGCTGTATGCTTGGCTCGGCGTCGAGCCTCCAAGAGGGGTGTTGCTCCACGGACCTCCTGGGTGTGGCAAGACGATGCTGGCCCATGCGATTGCACGGGAAGCAGGAGTGCCGTTCTTCAAGATCGCTGCTCCTGAAATCGTCTCTGGCATGTCAGGTAAGGAGCAGCTGGATAGGTGATTTCTATTGCAGCAACAGCACAGGAGTGTTGCTCCACGGACCTCCTGGGTGTGGCAAGACGATGCTGGCCCATGCCATTGCACGTGAAGCTGGAGTGCCGTTCTTTAAGATCGCTGCCCCAGAGATTGTCTCGGGCATGTCAGGTAAGGGGCTGGATAGGTGGTTTCCATTGTTGCAGCAGCAGCAGTAGAAGCAGTAGCAGCAGCAGCCGAGGGGTGCTGCTGCATACCTCCTGGGTGGGACAAGACGATTCTGACCCATGCCATTGCCATTGCGCGGGAGGAGGGAATGCCGTTCTTCAAGACAAGACAGCTGCTGCTGCTGCTGAGACGGCTCAGAGGGAGATGGAGAGGAGAGGAGAGGAGAGGAGAGGAGAGGAGAGGAGAGGAGAGGAGAGGAGAGGAGAGGAGAGGAGAGGAGAGGAGAGGAGACGAGAGGAGAGGAGAGGAGGACAGCGGGCGGTGTGGGGCAGAGCTGCTGCTGACAATGCCTCCTTGTGTTCCCCGCCTTTCTGTTTCTTTTGCTGATTTTCTCCCTCTGCTGCTTCCCCATTTGACGCTGGCAGGTGAGTCGGAGGCCAAGCTACGGTCCCTCTTCTCCTCGGCCGAACGAGCCGCTCCCATGATTTTGTTTATCCATGAAATTGATGCCATCACCCCCAATAGGGAGACGGCTTAACGACGGTTCCTGCTTGTTTTGTCTCTTATTCTTTTACTTTTGTATCTCACCAGGTGAGTGAATCCGAGGCCAAGCTGGGGTCCCTCTTCTCTTCGGCTGAAAGAGCCGCTCCGGCCGTTCTGTTCATTGATGGGATTGATGCCATCACCCCCAACAGGGAGACGGCTCACGGAGAGATGTGCTGCTGACAATCCCCGTTTCTCCTTCTTTCTGTGTTTTCGTACTTCACACTGGCAGGTGAGTCCGAGGCCAAGCTACGGTCGCTCTTTGCCTCGGCTGAGAGGGCTGCCCCAGCGATTCTGTTCATTGATGAAATCGATGCCATCACCCCCAAGAGGGAGACGGCACAGCGGGAGATGGAGAGGAGGATTGTGGCTCAGCTGCTGACGTGTCTGGACGACCTCCAGTCATCTCCTGACACGTCAGCAGGTGGGGAGGGTGGGGAGAAGGCAGGGGATGAGAGAGAGGAGAAGGCAGGGGATGAGAGAGAGAAGGAGCAGGAGGAGAGGGAGGGAGAGAGGAAGGAGAGGGAGAGGGAGAAGAGGAGGAAGTTGAAAGGGCATGTGGTTGTGATAGGAGCAACGAACCGTCCAGATTCATTGGATCCTGCTTTGAGGCGGGCGGGCAGATTTGATCGCGAGATCGCCCTCGGGATCCCCGATGAGTCAGCGCGGGCCCGGATCCTGGAGGTACTTTCCAGGAAGCTGCGGCTGGAGGGGTCATTTGATTTCGGGGTTATTGCGCGGCGTACCCCTGGGTTTGTCGGGGCGGATCTGGCGGCTCTTGCGAAAGAAGCAGCGGCGATTGCGGTGAGGAGGATTTTTACGAGTAAGGAAGCGGTGCTGGTGGGTGGTGGGGGATTTAGTGGGGCAGCAGGAACAGGAGTGGCGACAGTAGCAGGAGTAGAGGGAGGAGGAGGAATGGAAGTGACAGGAGTAATGGAAGGTGCAGCAGATGCTGCAGCAGCGGCAGCAGCAGGGGTAGCCGCAGCAGAGCCAGCAGCAACGGGTGGTGATTGTATGGTGGTTGACAGGGAGGAGAATGTTCCTATGGTGAATGGGGAGGAAGGCGCAGAGGAGAAAACAGGAGGAGGGAGGAGTGGAGGAGGGGAAGAGCAGGCCGAAGGTGGTGGAGAAGGGGGGAGGGTGAAAGCAGGGGAGGCTTGGAGGGAGCCGTGGAGAGAAGAGGAGCTGCAGGCGCTGAGCATCACTATGGGGGACTTTGAGGTGCGTGGCGTGAGGAAACGCATGGTATGGTGTGACTTTTGAGACGTCTCAAGAAACGCATGGTATGGTATGACTTCTGAGACGTCTCAAGAAAGAAGCGCATGGTATGGTATGACTTTTGAGACGTCTCAAGAAAGAAACGCATGGTATGGTATGACTTTTGAGACGTCTCAAGAAAGAAACGCATGGTATGGTATGACTTTTGAGACGTCTCAAGAAAGAAACGCATGGTATGGTATGACTTTTGAGACGTCTCAAGAAAGAAACGCATGGTATGGTATGACTTTTGAGACGTCTCAAGAAACGCATGGTATGGTATGACTTTTGAGACGTCTCAAGAAACGCATGGTATGGTATGACTTTTGAGACGTCTCAAGAAAGAAACGCATGGTATGGTATGACTTTTGAGACGTCTCAAGAAAGAAACGCATGGTATGGTATGACTTTTGAGACGTCTCAAGAAAGAAGCGCATGGTATGGTATGACTTTTGAGACGTCTCAAGAAAGAAACGCATGGTATGGTATGACTTTTGAGACGTCTCAAGAAAGAAACGCATGGTATGGTATGACTTTTGAGACGTCTCAAGAAAGAAACGCATGGTATGGTATGACTTTTGAGACGTCTCAAGAAAGAAACGCATGGTATGGTATGACTTTTGAGACGTCTCAAGAAAGAAGCGCATGGTATGGTATGACTTTTGAGACGTCTCAAGAAAGAAATGCATGGTATGGTATGACTTTTGAGATGTCTCAAGAAAGAAACGCATGGTATGGTATGACTTTTGAGACGTCTCAAGAAACGCATGGTATGGTATGACTTTTGAGACGTCTCAAGAAACGCATGGTATGGTATGACTTTTGAGACGTCTCAAGAAAGAAACGCATGGTATGGTATGACTTTTGAGACGTCTCAAGAAAGAAGCGCATGGTATGGTATGACTTTTGAGACGTCTCAAGAAAGAAACGCATGGTATGGTATGACTTTTGAGACGTCTCAAGAAAGAAACGCATGGTATGGTATGACTTTTGAGACGTCTCAAGAAAGAAACGCATGGTATGGTATGACTTTTGAGACGTCTCAAGAAAGAAACGCATGGTATGGTATGACTTTTGAGACGTCTCAAGAAAGAAATGCATGGTATGGTATGACTTTTGAGATGTCTCAAGAAAGAAACGCATGGTATGGTATGACTTTTGAGACGTCTCAAGAAACGCATGGTATGGTATGACTTTTGAGACGTCTCAATAAACTAATGGTATGGTATGGTATGGTAGCATGGTGCCATGATTCGACTCATGATGCACCTAGGGAGGAGGTGCAAGCGCAAAGAAGAAATTTGAGGTGGGTGGAATGAGTCCAAGCAATCAAGATTCTCTCAACGTATAATCGGTGGGTGATGAGCCTAGTTTTGAGTCGACTCAAAACACGACACGCGACACAATGGAGATATTTGAGGTGCCTCATGCTGAGATGAGAATGATTTAATGCCTTCCCTTCTGAGAATCGCACTCATCATTCTCTACCCCTCTCCACCACCAAACCCTCCCTTCCCCTCTTGCAGGCAGCAATGGCCAAGGTAGAGCCGAGCGCCAAGAGTGAGGGATTCACCACCATCCCTGGCGTCACCTGGGACAACGTGGGGGCTCTGGGGGATGACGCAGACCTCTTTTATTCCCTCTCACCACTCTCTGCCACTCTCTGCCGCTCTGTACCCCTCTCTACCATGCAGGCAGCAGTGTCCCAGGTACAGCCGAGTGCCAAGAGGGAGGGCTTCCACCACCATCCCGGGAGTCACCTGGGATGACGTGGGAGCTGGGAACGTGAAACCCACCCTCTTGGGTGAGAAGATGATGACATTCCCTCCCACCCACCCACCCACCCATCCCCATTCTGCTTTCGCACGATCACCCCAGGCTGCAGTGGCGAAGGTGCAACCGAGTGCCAAGAGGGAGGGCTTCACCACCATACCTGGAGTCACCTGGGACGACGTGGGGGCTCTGGCAGACGTGAGGGAGGAGCTTGAGTTCTCAATCTCCCGGCCGATCAAATACCCAGAGGAGTATGAGGTGGGTTGATGCTTTATTGGCCGTTCATGCGTGATAACTTGCATGTAAGACGCATGTACTACGTGGACTGTAACTCAGTCCATGGACGCATGTACATGGACTGTAACTCAGTCCATGGACGCATGTACATGGACTGTAACTCGGGAGTGATTTTTGACTCGGGACTTGTGCATTCTCGAAAATCACTCGTAAGACGTTGTACATGGACTGTAACTCGGGCCGGGGCCAGTGCGTGCCTAATGAGCGTGGGGCCTCTGATGGGCCTAATGAGCTGACACGACGTGGGGGCTCTAGCAGACCTGAGGGAGGAGCTGGAGGCAAACTCATGTAGTGACACGTAAAAGGTGCGTTCCCTGGAGGAGTCACCTGGGACGGGTCAACGTGGGGGTAGGCATGAGCAGGGACTCTGCTCATGTCAACGTGGGGGTAGGCATGAGCAGGGACTTTGCTCATGTCAACGTGGGGGTAGGCATGAGCAGGGACTCTGCTCATGTCAACGTGGGGGTAGGCATGAGCAGGGACTCTGCTCATGTCAACGTGGGGGTAGGCATGAGCAGGGACTCTGCTCATGTCAACGTGGGGGTAGGCATGAGCAGGGACTCTGCTCATGTCAACGTGGGGGTAGGCATGAGCAGGGACTCTGCTCATGTCAACGTGGGGGTAGGCATGAGCAGGGACTCTGCTCATGTCAACGTGGGGGTAGGCATGAGCAGGGACTCTGCTCATGTCAACGTGGGGGTAGGCATGAGCAGGGACTCTGCTCATGTCAACGTGGGGGTAGGCATGAGCAGGGACTCTGCTCATGTCAACATGATGGGTGTGCATCTCTTCGCGTCTCTCTTGTTATCCTTGTCCTTTTTTGCGATTGCCTTTCTGTCTGTCTGACTGTCGTTTGCAGGCCATGGGGCTCCGGGCAGCAACAGGCATTCTCCTCTACGGCCCTCCCGGGTGTGGCAAGACTTTGGTGGCCAAGGCCATTGCCAACGATGCTGGGGCGAATTTCATATCCATCAAGGTACATCGTGGATGATGGATCCACCATCCACGCGTGCCACAAACATACATGAGGGTGTGTGCTTTAGGACCGCCAGGGTGTGGCAAGACTCTGGTGGCCAAGGCCATTGCTAACGATGCTGGGGCGAATTTCATTTCCATCAAGGTAGGTCGTGCCCTGATGTTGTTGTCGTGCCATGATGTTGTTGTCGTGCCCTGATGTTGTTGTCGTGCCCGGGGCCGATTCCATCTCCACCAAGGTATGTCATATCATGTCATCATGTTATGGTTCACCTTTTGAGGCGCCTCAAAAGGTATGAAATGTCATATCATGTCATGTCATGCTTGATTTCATTCCTCTCCCTCTCCCATACCCACTTCACCCTCCAGGGCCCAGAGCTGCTGAACAAGTACGTGGGGGAGAGCGAGCGGTCAGTGCGGCAGCTGTTTGTGCGGGCAAGAGCATCATCGCCCTGTGTGCTTTTCTTTGACGAGGTGTGTGTTTGATTGAATCATTGAACCTAATGAATCATCCGTGCGTATTTGAGAGTCAAATTCAGACTTACGCTTTGATTGTGTGCTGCTCGTCCATGGATGATGAATGGAGGGCTCCCTGCGGAAAAGGTCATATTTCAGGCGACTCATGACTAGCTGCTTGTGAGGGCGAGATTTCATTCGTCCTGTGTGCTCTTCTTTGATCAGGTGATGAATGGAATGTTCGCTCTGTGTGTACTCACAAGCTGGCTTGACTTGAGACTGATCTGGCTCAAGTCTCAAGTCACAAGTTTGCATGTCTGTTGCACTTGAATGAGGCGAGGAACAAAGATTGGGTCGCATGTTTTCTCTGAGGCGTCCGATGGTGGTTTGTTGGTGGTGGATTGTACGAGACGAGACAAGACAAGACGAGACGAGACAAGACAAGACGAGACGAGACAAGACGAGACGAGACAAGACGAGACGAGACAAGACGAGACGAGACAAGACGAGGGCGCGCCCTTCCTCCCCAGATGAACTGTATGGCTCCAGATGAACTGTATGGCTCCAGATGAACTGTATGGCTCCAGATGAACTGTATGGCTCCAGATGAACTGTATGGCTCCAGATGAACTGTATGGCTCCAGATGAACTGTATGGCTCCAGATGAACTGTATGGCTCCAGATGAACTGTATGGCTCCAGATGAACTGTATGGCTTGAAGAAGAGGGTCGCGCGATCGTCCCCATCTTCCCATGTTCTCCACCCACCACACTCCCCCCATCCTTATTTCCCACCTCCATCTCTCCCCTCCACCCACCTCCCCAGGTGGACGGTATGGCTTGAACTCTGAGGAAAGGGTCGGGTGGGTGGCAACAGCTCCTAGAGGTGGAACTGGTGGCCTCTCCCCACCCCTCCCCACCTCTCCCCCCACGCTTCCACCTCTCTCATCTCCCCCAAACCTCCTCTCACCCCTCCCCACTGCCACAGATGGATGCAATGGCTCCCAGGAGAGGGTCGGATGGCAATGGGGCAGCAGAGAGAGTGGTCAACCAGGTGAGGTGGCAGGTCAACGCCGGTCAACGAGGGTCAACCAGTTGAGGTGACAGGTCAACACGGGTCAATGAGGGTCAACCAGTTGAGGTGACAGGTCAACACGGGTCAATGAGGGTCAACCAGTTGAGGTGACAGGTCAACACGGGTCAATGAGGGTCAACCATTTGAGGTGACAGGTCAACACGGGTCAATGAGGGTCAACCAGTTGATGTGACAGGTCAATCAATGTGGGTCAGCACAGGGCAGTGCTGGTCAACGCGGATCTACCAGTCTTGATGTTTTTATTTACCTAACTTTTTGCTGTGGCGTGTTTTTTCATCGTTCTTTCTTTCTGTCTTGTTCTTTTGGATTATTGTTCTTGTCCAATTCTGAAGTAACGTTTGTCTCTGACATGTCTGCTTCTGTTCTGTTGTGTCTTATTGCATTTTTGAAACAGCTTCTAACGGAGATGGATGGGCTTGAGTCTCGCAAGAGTGTCTACATCATCGCTGCCACCAACAGGTGTGTGTCCGACAAGGCAAAGAAGTTGCAGTTCGATGTCAGAAAGCGAGCAGTCATGGAAGCACTCGTCGCTCACCACTCCGCCACCGGAGCAGCCGCCGCTGCCGCCGCTAGTTGCCATCACGCTGTGACGAATCGGCAGCAGCGGCAGCAACGTGATGGCGACTAGCGGCGGCAGCGGCGACTGCTCCGGCGGCGGAGTGGTGAGCGGCAAATGCTTCCATGACTGCTCGTTTTCAGACATCGAACTGCGACGTCTTTGACTTGTCGGACAGGCAACTAAAGGCTGGTGAGACACATTTAAACACGTCTATGTCGGAACCGACTTCAAATACTCAGCATTCCACCCCTACCTCCCCTCTCTCGTGCTCTTAAACACCCCGCCTTCCGTTCCCCTCCTCCCTCCTCACCACTCAATCCCTCTTGGTCACTCGTGATGTGATATGTTAGACCCTGTGCTCGCCCGACCCCACCTCCTCTTTTAATAAACCTTTTTTTCTTGGACGTCTCGAGACTAGTTCCCTTAACTCTCCCCCCCTCCTCTCCCCTCCCCCCCCTTCTCCCACCTTCCCCCTCCATCTGCCCCAGTCAAGCTCAGCATGGCCAGCCGGTGCTCCTTTCCACCCCACTTTCCTTTGAATTTTCTCCTCACATCATCCTCCCCATTCATCTGCCCCTAGTCAAACACGACATGGTCGGCCAGTGCTCCTTTCCCCCCACCTTCGATTCTCATAACCTTTTTTCTCAAAACCCCTCATGTCCCCCCCCACTGTCACACCCCTCCCTTCCCCACCCCCACTGCCTTGATCAGGCCTGACATGATCGACCCGGCACTCCTCCGTCCCGGTCGCCTCGACAAGCTTCTTTTCATCCCGCTGCCTGACGCGCCGTCTCGGGCAGCCATTTTGTGCACTCTCATTCGCTCGATTCCCCGGGCAGCCGACGTGAATGTTGAGTTGATGAATGAGTTGGCAGGGGTTGGGGATGGTGGGGCATCAGCAGCAGCTGCAGCAGCAGCAGCAGTAACAGAGGAAGTCGTAGGGGGAACAGGGGCAGCAGTGGGAGAAGGGGCAGGAGACAAGAAGACTGGTAGTGTGGAGCAGAGAGGAGGAGGAGTATCAGCAGGTGGAGGGGGAGGAGAAATAGATGAGTGTGATACAGGAGGGAGGGAGCAGACTGAGGAAGATTCAAGCGTAATCCCGTTGGAGGGACAGAAAGCAAGGGACAGGAAAGTGGGGGGGAAGCTTCCAGGGGCCGCTAGAGGACACAAGGCCCCTTGTGATGGATTCAGTGGTGCTGACCTGGCAGCGCTGGTGAGTTGACTCCCGTTGACCTGAGTTGACTTTTGTTGACTTGACTTGACCGGGGCTGACCTGGTTTGACTTGCTTACTGCCGACCTGGCAACACGGGTGAGTTGACTTCTGTTGACCTGCAGTCATCATTAAGTCGAGTCTCCAGTCCAGTTAACTTTTGAGTCGACTCAAAAGTCACCTGCAGTCATCATTAAGTCGAGTCTCTAGTCCAGTTATCTTCCTCCAGTACTCGTCAACCGGCCTCATTTGAGACGACTTGTGAGTCGACTCAAAAGTCAGCTCAGTTATTTTCCTCCAGTATTCGTCAACCGGCCTGTTTTGAGACGTCGCAAAAAAATGCAATCATCATTAAGTTGAGTCTCCAGTCCAGTCCAGTTGTTTTCCTCCAGTATTCACCAACCCGCCCCTGCCCTGTCCTGCCGGTCACCTCTGGTCCCCAACACGACCTCGTGCGGGAGGCGTGTGTGATGGCACTGCAGGAACGCATGTGTTTGTCTCTGTCTTTCTGTGCCTTAGCCGCACTCATCTTAATGACTCCTACTCTCCTCTCTACCCATCCTCTCTCCTCCTTCAGGTGACTTTTGAGTCGACTCAAAAGCCACTTAGCTGCACTCATCGTAATGACTCCTACTCTCCTCTCTACCCATCCTCTCTCCTCGTTCAGGTGACTTTTGAGTCGACTCAAAAGTCACTTAGCTGCACTCATCTTAATGACTCCTACTCTCCTCTCCGCCCATCCTCTCTCCTCCTTCAGGTGCGAGAGGCGTGTGTGACAGCACTGCGGGAGCGCATGTCCAATCGGCGCACAGATGAGGAATCAGCTCAGCTTCTCCTTGCTGCTTCTGCTCCTGCGACTGCCGCCGCCGCTGCTGCTGCTGCTGCTGCTGCTGCTGCTGCTGCCGCTGCTTCTGCTCCTCCTCTTGCTACGTCGACTGCTGCCGCTCCTGTCGCCCCTGCTGCCTCGTTGGACAAGGGACTGCAGCCTCGGCACGGACCTGTAGTGGAGGCTCGGCATTTCAAGAAGGCACTGACCCGAATCGTGCCTTCTGTTTCTCCTCAGGTGGGCTTGTGGGCTTGTGGCTTTTTAGGCGTGTTCGCTTGATGTGGGTCGTCTGAAGGCAGCTTGTGAGCTTGTAGGCGTGTTGTTGTTATGAACCTGTGGGCTTGTGGGCTTGTACATGTGGTATGCGCCTGTGGGTTTGTGGGTATGTGGGTTTGTGGGTTTGAGGGTTCGAGGGCGGGTTCGAGGGCTTGTAGGTTTGTGGGTTTCTGGGTTTCTGGGTTTCTGGGTTTGAGGGCTTGTGGGTCGATTGCCAATGGTGGATGGATCTGCCATTCCATGTTATGCCTGTAAATGCGAAGCGGTTTTTGAGGCGCCTCAAAAACCGTTTCGCATTTGAAGAGCCTCAAGTGTAACTTATTAGCAGTAGTGGATGTGTTTGCTGCTCCGTGTTATGCCTGTTGGTGTGTCTGAGGTGGCATCATGTGTGTTGTTGCCTTACCTATCGCAATTGTCAGTGTCAATACATGCTCATTCTACCTACTTGGGTCAGGTAACTCCCTTTCCCTACAGCCTGTTGCGTAGCCTCTGCATTGTTCCCTGCATTGTGGCATATAAGAGCGTACTGTATTGCATTGTACTATACCGCACTGTACCATATTGTTGTCTTCTCTGCTGTATTGTCCTATATTGTTCTCTATCGCATTATCCTCCACTGCAATGTACCAAATTGCATCGTACTCAACCGCATTGAACCTTCTCACATCATACCCAATCTCACTGACCCATATGGCAACGAAACATACTCAATCAATAAACTGTCGCTAATGAATCCCATTGTACTGTACCAGCCTACTATACCACATTCAACACTGTTGCACTGTACTGTATCATATTCAGTACTTTTGCACTGTATTATATAACATTGTACTGTATCGCACATTCAACACTGTTGCACCATACTGAATCACACTGTATGTGGCCGGATATCAAGCGTTACGAGGTTCGTCGCAACCTTGGATGCTTTTGAGGCGCCCTTAAAATCAAATCGGCCCACATTGTATTTTATCACATCCTATGCTATCGCACTACATGTGGCAGGATATCAAGCGCTACGAGGACCTTCGTCGCAACCTGAGGGGGGCGCGCTACCACATTGCCGAGTAAAATGGGGAGGAAGGGGAGAGGGGGCAGAGGAAGGGGACCTTGGGAGTTTCAACCTGTTTCTTTCGCAGAAGAATACGGCGACACTGTTTCATTTTGATGACACTCTACATGAGAGTAGAGTTGTGTTTTCGTGTAAAAACTTATCATTTTGACATGGCAAGCTGGATGCAGATTCCAGCAGCAGCAGCAGCAGCAGCTCGACTAACCCCTCTGCTGCCCCTAACTCCCATAAACCACGGTGTGGGCTGGCAGCCTGGGCTAATACCGTACCAGATGCTACATCACTGGCAGAATGGAGCCCCATAACCACCTGGACCTCTCTGATGGTGAACCATGGTGTAAGATCGTACTACCAGGCCAAGTTGACTTTAGACTCCAAAGGTTAGAGTCTCAAAAGTATCTGTGCTTGTGGAAGCACTGGCAAAATCGAACCCCATATCCGCCTGGACCTCACTGATGGTGAATTATGGTGTAAGATTGTACCAGGCCGGACAGACCCCATATCATTGCGTTTCCGGAATGGAACCTAATGTCATAACCTTTTGAACCGCTCTGAAGCTGCAGCTTCCAGCATCAGCAGCAGCAGCAGCACGTCTGGATGGCCCCTCTCTGCACCCTCAACCCCCATGGACCACGGTGTCTGCATCATTCTACACAAGCCTATTTACATGCCCAAGTCTGCATCATTCCATACAAGCCTACACGCACTGACCAGGTCTGCATCATTCTACACAAGCCTATTTACATGCCCAAGTCTGCATTGTTGGAAACAGTAAATCTTAAGCGCCTCTGTCGTGTCGAAACATCGCACCAGAAGCGAAGCGAACCATATTGAGGCACACGCGAGTCAACCCTCGGAGGTTGAAAGAGGTTGCTGGAGGTTACGCGAAAGTCAAAGGACAGCGACCTTTGACCTGACAAGTGCAGCGCGACAGCAAGGACACACAACTGACTCGCTACAGAGAAGTTGCCCGAGTCGTCACTGTATCGAACCGCAACAGCAACAGTAAAGCAGTTATAACCGTTTTTTTTCATATTCCTTGTACTCATATATAAATGCTTGTATCTCTTTGCTTTAATCAACTTACTTTGCCCTCACATACCAGCGCAAGGTGGTTCAAATCTCATTATCAAAACGCTTCCGCTATTACATCATCTCTACCCAGAGTTTACCCCTGCAAAGATCCTAAGGGCTGTTCTCAGCCCAACATGGTATGAGAGCGATCAGGGGAAATTCGACTACTATCAAGTCATCAACAGATAACATGACAACATACAAGGAAAGGAGTTCCTCTAATGGTTCTCCCGGGACTACTCCTACCCCACCCCCTGCCTCTGGCCTGCAGACAGAGGAAGGAACCGCAACGGGACCAGCAGCGCCTTCAGCCAGCCAGCCTGCCAGCTTCGACCAGAGTATGATGGAGAAGTTTTTCTCCTTCATGTCGTTTTACGAGCAACACCAGCAATCGGCACCTGCGCAGTCAAACAACAGCAACAACAACAACGTGACCCCAATGAGTCTCGACGGCTCGTCATATGCGCGCGGAAACCAGCAACAACCTACCTTTGCTCCGTATGAACGCGGGTCCATTAGCTTCATGCCGCACCCGCAAGCTCCACCTGTACAAGAAAAACCACTGGATGCACTACAAGTTCAGTCGCAATTCGCGCACGTCTTGAAGCTGCAGACGTCAAGGCCCTTCGACGCAAAAGACTTCTTCACCTGGTCGTTCGAGTTCGAGCTCATGATGGAAGGCGCGCAGATACTTGGCTTCTTCGACGGGTCTGTGCCATACCCAACAAACGGTACACAGTATGAGAAGCAGCAGTACACATATCAATCGATGATGGCGTATACGATCCTACTGAGAAACATCACCCCAACTCAGCAGCAGAACATACGATCTTACCGGGGATTCGGCAACTCCGCGGAACTCGCGTACAAACACCTGAAGGACCTGTATCAAGCAACAGACAGCGTCAGTCAAAGTCGGCTAATGGCGCAACTGACAACGGTCGAAATGAAACCAGGCGAAAAAGGAATGGCATATATCAGCCGATGTCGCGAACTGCGTGACAAGCTTCTTCGATGCGGAGGGTCAATCTCTGAAGACGCCTTCGTGACAGTCATCATCGGCGGCCTCGGTCCTCAATGGCGCGCGACAAAGGCCATTCTCCGAGCCCACGGAAGAATCTCCGAAGCAGCACTCTGCGCCGAGATTCACGCCGAGCAGCAAGACATCGACCTGCAAGAAGAAAGACACAAAAGAAAGACATCAGTACCGGAATTCGCGTTTCACACTCAGCGACGGTACAACAACAACAGCAACCGACAACAACCAAAAATCATACCTCCGTTCTGCCACATCTGCAAGACGTCGGGGCACCCATGTACGCACTGCCCGAATCGACAACAGTCAACGCCTCCACAACGACAGCTTCGACCCTCAAGCAACCAAGTTGCCTCAACGCAAGCGAATCCCACGACTCAAATTCAAGCCTCAACAACTTCAACAGGACAACCTGCACAAGGAAGAAGGAACATCGTCAGCTGCATGGCAAAGTTAACGGACTCCTGCGTTACTGAATCTCCACCACACCACTCACCGGAAGAACAACTCGACAACATTACACCCCGCCGCGAGTCACTGCAGCCGAACCCGACATACGCCGCCATCGCCCAGAGTGAGCCATCCGGGAAAGACACATGGTTCTTAGACAGCTGCTGCGGACAGCACATGTGCTCTTCAGGACGCTTCGTACAGCGAGAGTATCAACTCCAACGAGAAGTAGTCATCACCGTCGCCAACAATCAAAATCTGCGCACACGACGACAAGGCGTAGTACAACTTCAGTCACGAGAAACAAGTGTCATTCTACAAATGACCAAAGTTTTCATCGCAGAAGGCCTCGGCTACAACTTACTGAGCGTCAGTCAGTTGATGGCGAAGGGCATTCACCTCGAAGCAGACAGCACCACCCAGGAGTTCAAGCTGTACCACGGAAAGGGCGGCCTCTACATCGGAAAGGTGATCCTCAAGAACAACGTCTTCGTTCTTGATTTTGTTCTAGATCTCGGCACAGCAGACAGCGACGGCATCGTCACCTTCACCTCCTGGACCCACCCTCCAGATCTTGATCCCGACTTTAGTCCCGGCGGCTTCTGGCACTCACACACCATTCCTGAAACAGAGAGAACAAGGGCGTTAGCAACAATTTAACATTCATCGGCAGCAGCAGAGACAACATCGGCAGCAGCAGAGACAACAACGAGAACATCGGCAGTAGCAGCGACAACAGCAACAGCAGCGGCAACATCGACACCAATCGCTGGTCCTTCAACGGCACCAATATCCATCGACGATTCGCCACCGACACCCGCACAACAGTTAACCCAGCACCACGAGAAGTCCACCGAAGCACCAACGTCACTGCCGGATTCTACTCCAACTCCGATCTGTATCGACGATCGCCCGGACATCGCGCCACCGAAGGAACCTGGCACGCAAGAATGGGACATCCAAGCAACACAGTGTTAAACAACACGATAAGAGCAGGAGTGCTCGATAAAGATTCACTCCTACTGACCGACGGCAGAGAACTTCAGCGAGCCCGTGGAACGTGCTTCACCTGCCCTGAAGCTGACTTACCGCATCAGCCGTTTGTCTCGCATCACAATCCAAGCGCACCTGCGTACACACCTCTGGAAAAGGTGTACAGCGACATATTATACAACCGTGAACCCGGACAAAACGCCTACAGTTACACCATCACGTTCATCGACGCCGCGACACGTTACGTGTGGCATCTCAACCTTCCGAGCAGAGACATGGCCTTCGAAGCCTTCGTCGCGTGGCTTCCCGTAGCAGAAAGAGAATCGGGCGTCAAGCTGAAGAGCTTTCAGTCAGACGGGTGAGGAGAATACACCTCACAAA